AAATTTCGTGGTTTATGCTGACAGGCTGAAATGTTTATATAAGACAGATATATATTTCCCGAATTTAATAGCCCCTAATTAAGGGTGCATATAACACACGAGTGCGTATTTTACGCATATAATATCCTTGTGTACATTGATCAATCAGAAGGGATGCTAATTGGGATTGTTCACTAGCCAATATATTAGCAAATATCGGGGTGGGCACTTATTAGAATGGGGCGCTTATTATGTCGAATATGGTACTTGATAAATAAGCTTCGAGAGAAATTACTGCCACTTCAACAGTAACATAACAAACAAGCACATGCCAGCACATTTAGGCTTAGCAGTCTAATATTTAGTACCAGACATTCTTGCAACCCCCTTGTTCTTTAAGAAATGACAGCCATGAAACCAGTCAATTAACCAGAGAATTACTCTTCAATCACCATAGAAACAAAAGACAGCAGAACAGGCATCTGTATATGTCTTGTATTGTCGGATGAAACTCACACATATGCATAGTGTGATAATATACAATATCACATACAAGAATGATGTTATATACACATTGTATATACATATGGAGTACAATCGCCAACAATTATATACACACGGAATACAACTACCGGTACAGACAAATGGTATACGAAACTACAGGCAACAAGCATATAAGTACAACACAAAATAAAAAAACACTCATGACAAAGACGGCCTACCATGCAATACTAATGAAGATGAGGAGCCAATTTGTTCCTGTAATCTAAAAGGTGAGTGAGTGAGTGAGTATGGTTTTACGCCGCTTTTAGCAATATTCCAGCAATATCACGGCGGGGGACACCAGAAATGGGCTTCACACAATGTACCCATGTCGGGAATCGAACCCGTCGGTGACGAGCGAACGCTTTAACCACTAGGCTACCCGACCGCCCCTAATCTGAAAGGGTTATCATAATAAGCATGCACCTTAGTAAAATATTCTCCCCAAATCATATTTTCTACAGAATTGCTATCTTTAGTAAAAAATCGCAGGATTAATGGATATGGTTTGACAATTCAATATCATTTCATTCTAATGATAACACAACTAATACTCTGCTGGAATACACTGAATATCAACATTTGTTTTTCTAAATGACAAAAGTGAGTACTCAGATTATGGTTTTACGCCGCTTTTAGCAATATTCCAGCAATATCACGTCAGGGGACACCAGAAATGAGCTTCACACATTGTACCCATGTCGGGAATCGAACTCGGGTCTTTGGTGTGACGAGCAAACGCTTTAACCACTCGGCTACCCCTAAATGACAAAGAGTTTAAGTAATCTTTGGTAAATTAAACTTGGAAACACAGGCAAGGAACAACAGAATGTGAAATGTAAATGTGATATTTGACACAATATTGCTATGAAAATGTCTAGAATGAATTCACTAATGAAAGTCTACACTATTTCACTGGATGGTGTATCACCTTGAGCTTCAACAACCAACATGATTACAAATAAACAACATCTAGCATACACAACTCAACTGAGCAGGAAACTAAACATGTGTTATCATTCAGCACTTCAATGAAGGTAATCTCATAATTTGCTACCTGACTAACAATAACTGTAATAAATTCAGAACAGTACCAATAATAATAGTCAGTACACGGTCAACACATTAGGAACCAACCATTTGATATTGAGGAGGGGGGATTTTATCGAGAAAAAAAAATTGTCCCAGAAAATACTTGAAAAAAATTACTTATGCTGGAGAATTGGAAAAAAGTCATTGTCATCAAATGGTCAGTCACTTAACTATTTGTTTGTAATGTACAAAATGTAGGTCAATTTTAGGTTTTAAAACTAATAGGGATAAACCCCATCTAAGCCATATACTGTTCAAAAGAAGCCAAAGAACACCTGATTCTTTCTTTTTACCAGTACCAGTACTCATGGGTGATAGACTAACTATAGCAACATGAAAGAATCGGGTGTTCCATAAACCTTCAATCATGACATTCATTATTAGTTCTTACGGAAGTAATCCAGAACAAGGCTTCTGCAATGAGCAAGGCTGCTAACTATTGCACACGGAAATACAAACCTTTAATTATTTCGAATATGTACCTGTCATTTCAAATAAAAACAAAATATTTTCAAACAAATTTGTTTTCTTTCTGAACCAATCAACAAATTTCAGTAATAATGAAGTCTTCAAAGTGACAACATATAAAGGCAAGTTTTTGTCGTATTTCTCATTCAAAGTAACAATCAATTATATAAATTATTATGATTAATATTTTGATCACTGACCCTTTAATTTAGATTCTAATGCAAGTACATGTACTGGAAAAAATAAATAAAGATGCTCAGTAATTCAATATGTTTTGCTCCACATTTCGACTACTTTACTGGGAAACACCATCTAAGGATGTCAACTGTTGGAAATGTCTACCCATCGGTACATATGAAAGATGGACATAACTCAAGTACAGGGTTTAACTGGCAACGGGGTAATCAGGATAGTTTATCTGGAACAGTGTCATCCAGATTACAGTGTTGTCCAGATTACAGTGTTGTCAAGATGACAGTGTTGTCCAGATAACAGTGTCGTCCACATTACAGAGTTGTCCAGATTAGTGTTGTCCAGATTACAGTGTCATCCAGATTACAGTGTTGTCCAGATTAGTGTTGTCCAGATTACAGTGTCATCCAGACAACAGTGTTATCCAGATAACAGTGTCATCCAGGTTACAGTGTTGTCCAGATTACAGTGTTGTCCAGATTACAGTGTCATCCAGATTACAGAGTTGTCCAGATTACAGTGTTGTCCAGATTAGTGTTGTCCAGATTACAGTGTCATCCAGACAACAGTGTTATCCAGATAACAGTGTCATCCAGGTTACAGTGTTGTCCAGATTACAGTGTTGTCCAGATTACAGTGTCATCCAGATTACAGAGTTGTCCAGATTACAGTGTCATCCAGATTACAGAGTTGTCCAGATTACAGTGTTGTCCAGACAACAGTGTTATCCAGATAACAGTGTCGTCCACATTACAGTGTTGTCCAGATTACAGTGTTGTCCAGATTACAGTGTCATCCAGATTACAGAGTTGTCCAGATTACAGTGTTGTCCAGATTAGTGTTGTCCAGATTACAGTGTCATCCAGACAACAGTGTTATCCAGATAACAGTGTCATCCAGGTTACAGTGTTGTCCAGATTACAGTGTTGTCCAGATTACAGTGTCATCCAGATTACAGAGTTGTCCAGATTACAGTGTTGTCCAGATTACAGTGTCATCCAGATTACAGAGTTGTCCAGATTACAGTGTCATCCAGATTACAGAGTTGTCCAGATTACAGTGTCGTCCAGAATACAGTGTAGTCCAGATTGAAGTATTGTCCAGATTACAGTGTTGTCCAGATTAACAGGGTTTCACTGTACATGAAAATATAATTGTACAGAAACAAATAAGCTTTCCGGTATGATATGATGACATTGCTTTATCATTAAAACTCTTAACATATTAATTAGAGACATATGGCTTTCGCGTTTTCAACATGTTCAAAATGAGTTTAGAAAATATTGGTTCATGGTAAAACACAGAACACCGTCTTTATGTGCAAAAGCAACTTGAATAATAGGGGCATAGTCATGATATATTAAATACACAAAGAAATGAGAACATCACAACATGATATGTAAAGTATCAGACAGTGTAGAGATAGAGCTATATATCTATATAAACCCAAGATGTATACATATATAATACATATATATTTATATAACCAGACAAAAATATGATTTAGAATTAACAAGAAATAGACATGTGGCATTGATGAATACAGGATTTTGGTGGCACCTCCAAACCATATGGTAACAAGAAGTATGAAATTAGTGCTTATGGACCATCCTCAAAATGAATTACCGGTATTCAGTTGGCCATTTCAAGTTAAACATACTGTCAGAAATTTTTTAAACATCCAACTGATAAGTTTGATTATTTATAAGGTAAAGCATGATACATACCGCCCATGACAGTTGGCTCTCATTGTCTTGCAGTTATTCAGTGCTTAATCTGTCTCCACTGGTCATATCACATCTGTAAACATGGATTATCTCCCCTTGGTCCCCTTCAACTTGGAGAAAATGAGAGGCAACCGAACATGGGTTCGACATCAGAACAATCTACCAGAAGAATGTTCAAGGTAACATTGAATACACTGCAGCATGGGGACATTATACACCCAAGGAAAAATACAAAGATGTGTCCTCCAAAATATTGTGTCATGCATTATTCTCGTTTTTCAAAGAGCTTGGTTATTTCATCACAGACATTGTCAGTTTTGCAAGTAAACTCAGTGTTTATTTCAGCTATTTGATCTTTTGGTGTGCAAATTAAACAAATAACATACACACTTTTATGGTTTTGGACACATCTTAGTAGTTTTTGTGTTAGGTACAAACAAAGTCTCCTGACTGGCTGGATTAAGATGCGCACACTGATCTTCGGACCGAACATTTAATACTATGCTGAGGTGGACCCAAAATGCATTATTTTATAGAACAACCAAAATGTCTGTGAACGACTTAAAACAAAATAATTTGGGGTGGAAACCAGAGGACGAAGTATTTATTCCAGCATATAGGAAACAGATTTCTCTCCTCTGAGCTTTCTGTCTTTCCTCAACTGTTAATAGTTTTGGATAGGGTCTTCTAACATGTACCCAATCTATTTTCATAATTGAACATATAATCTGTTCAAACCATGTTGGTTCATTTTGTGAACTTGACTTTATTCAAAATGCTCAAGACCATTTGAATTTCTTCATAATGATCTTAGGCGGACAACTGTTGTACCTCTCACACCATAGCATGGAATAACTGTCTCAGGTCACCCTGTGGAAGGAAGTCCTAGCGCAGAATCCTATCTCTTCTCACATTAACAAAATAGCAAAGTATATGGACTCAACACCATCTTGCCAACAATGTCCATGTCAGTGTATAATCTGCAAGAATCACCTTTAAATGAACACAGTGAAAAACATTTTACAAGAGAAGCAAAATCTAAATGCCATACCCTATTATGCTGACAGACAACCGCCAGGCCCCGACACACCACAGCCAGGCCTCGACATACCACAGGCAGGCCTTGACACACCACAGCCAGGCCTCGACATACTACAGCAAGGCCTCGAAACACCACAGCCAGGCCTCGACATGCTACAGCCAAGCCTAGACACACCACAGCCAGGCCTCGACACACCACAGGCAGGCCTTGACACACCACAGCCAGGCCTCGACATGCTACAGCCAAGCCTAGACACACCACAGCCAGGCCTTGACACACCACAGGCAGGCCTAGACACACCACAGCCAGGCCTCGACACACCACATCCAGGCCTCGACACACCACAGCCAGGCCTCGACATGCTACAGCCAAGCCTAGACACACCACAGCCAGGCCTTGATACACCACAGCCAGGCCTCGACACACCACAGCCAAGCCTAGAAACACCACAGCCAGGCCTCGACATGCTACAGCCAAGCCTAGACACACCACAGCCAGGCCTTGATACACCACAGCCAAGCCTCGACATCTTAAGTTGAAGCTTGGAAACACAGATTAATATGTAAGTAATATACAATCAATCAATTCCAAGCAATGACAAGTTTACACATTAACAGAAACATCTGGATCAGTTTGGAGACCGGAAACACCCGTTCATTTTGATTTGACTTAAAGAATCACCCCTATTATAAACCAGTGCCTTACAACCTTCTGACCAGACAAAGTTAGCATCCTCACTGATTGCACCGGTATGAGAGTATGAAGAATCTTTGCACATTAGATTGACCAATCACTATATAAAACATTAAAGCAAAAAAATAGCAACAAGTAATCAGGGAACTTAACAGAGACAAAAATATGAACATGAAATTGAATAAACTGAAAAAATTATGAAATAAATAAATCATGAACAATGGTGACAACTACGGAATGAAGCATCACAACATAAATTAGACCCATAAACAATCAATATTTAACAACCTTCTCTCTCAAAAGCATACAAAGAGATGACCTTGAAAAACAACAAACAATCCCTCGTCACAACCATGCAAATGTGTAACCCATGTGTATGCGATATGTGGGAGGAAACATCTTCATCACAGGCACCTGCAGCATATCCTCAAAACAAAACATGTCCAGAATATCTTACTAATGTAATTAATAATCATAATCACAACAATTATCATCACAATTTCATCCATCTATTTTCAAGAATAATGTAGGATTCATTTTTTTCTATGTAACGGTACCTTTAAATAGATAATAAGTTATTACAATTTCATTCAAATGCAGTAATTATTCCATTTTTCAAAAGCGATGTTGGGGATCTTATTTCTAAGTTAATTAACTTTGGACATTATTACATTTTCATCAATTTTGTTTTTCAAAAGGTGAGGAGGGAATGAATTTGTTTATGAATTAATAACTTTAGAAATAAATAATCAATTATTCCACCTACAAGGTTTTAACTTTTATTATTTTGCAAACAGACCGTGAAACGGTCACGATGTTATTGGAAAACAATCTATCCAACATGAAAGCAATAATAGTAATAATAAATTATTCCACCTACAAGGTTTTAACTTTTATTACTTTGCAAACAGACCGTGAAACGGTCACGATGTTATTGGAAAACAATCTATCCAACATGAAAGCAATAATAGTAATAACAAGCATGAAATACTCATATCCCCCGCCACTATGACATGTCCGGTTGTGTGCAATGCCTCTTGGCAATTTGATATATTCTCCACAATATAAGATATAACTGTGTCGAAACTATCGAAAAACTGCCAACAGAGGGCAATAAAATACAAAGCAGAGCTCCAGATATGCAGTGTCCATGCGTGAAATACACAGTTGTGCTCAGGAAGCGAAATCTACGCAGCCTATAGGTCGGCCATATTTGTTGATGTAAAATGAACATATTTCTCCAATCCATTTTCTATCCAAAGCAAAAACATTACCATATATTACATAACCTGTAACCATGGTAACTGATGAAGCTGCAACACTGAAATGATTACATATAGTTAAAGCATAACGGTATAACGGCGCCTCAGAGGTTTGCCATTTCAGTCATGAAGTGGGATGAATCATAAACGGAATTGACACATTTCATACTAATGGTGGGGCATGTTTCGCGGGATAAATAAGTGTGAGTGAGTTCGGTTTTACGCCGCAATCTTCCAGCAATATCACGACAAGGACACCAGAAATGGGCTTCACACATTGTACCCATGTCGGAAATCGAACCTTGGTCCTCAGCGTAACATGTGAACGCTTTAACCACAAGGCTACTCAACCGCCCCAGATAAATAAGATAACATCAAACATGTAGATGGGCTCTGAACATGAAAGAAAATCGACTACCCAACAATTTGATTTCACAAGTTAACAGTATGGGTACGATTCTGAGTAAACAATATATACAACAAATGTACCGAGCAAGCAACGACTCCAGCTATTTATCCGTGACCACTCATGTCATTCAAAGACAAGCCGACTTGTGCCCTCCCATGTCTAATTTATCAACTTCAATCTTTGCACAATTTCATTCCGAGACAAGCCGAATGACGACTTGTGCGCTTTTGTGTCAAATATATCAACTTGGATCGATCTTTGCACAATTTCATTCCGAGAAAAGCCGATGGCGACTTGTGTATAATTTATCAACTTGGATCGATCTTTGCTCAATTTCATTCAAAGACCAGCCGAATGGCGACTTGTGCCTCTCTCTAGTCTTTTTTATCAACTCAGTCTTTGTGCAAACAGGTACAGCTTGTTGTATCCCATCTTCCAATACTTTGGAAGTTTCAAAGTTTTTTTCTAAACATACCATTTTCAATCACTTGTTATTCAGTATGGTTGAACAATTGTCACTTGTCACTAATCTCAGCTGTCATGCACGACAAAGTAGCGATTGTATGTTGCTCTAGATACAGGGATAAACAAAGTACAGTTACACACTGCTAGGAAACAATATCAGCACAGGATCTGTTTCAGCTTACTAGCTTCATCTTGGTATCTCGTGCAAATGGAAGCAACTTTCAACAACTAAATATTCCATATTACAGAAACTCAATGTTTCTAATGATACTGACAATTCTGACTCAAAGGGACTACTAACACTTAACATCAAGGAGGTATTTCACAGTATTAGCCATTCTCCATTATCAGGTGGATTATATTGCCATTCTATTACGATAAAGGGTGGAAACTGGACTTTTTCAGTCAGTTAACTCCCTTGCTTCAGGAAGATGTCTAGTAACATAAGGACTTCCCTTATCAAGTCTTAGTACATTATTTTCCAAGACCAACGTTTCCTTATAATGGTAATCTGATTTGATTAAATATATTGACTGCTCGCTCGCTGCTACAAGATCACGATTTTGGAAATGCTAAACTTGTGTTCAGAAGGGACATTCTGATTGGTTGTTTATTTCAAACTCATAAAAGTAATTTCGAACAGAGTTAATAAGAGAGACAGAGACTTTAAATATATGGTGACGAATCATTATAGGGTATATGTCATATAGAATAAATATGTAATTCCCTAGATAGTCAAGGATGATATAGGATAAGAGGATAGAGCATACGACTTTTCACATCTAACTTATTTCGCTTGATTTCATCTCGATAATTTGTATTGGTGACGAGGACCATTTGTCATTTCATTCTAAAACTTGGGAGGAATTCAGGGATGTATGTATCACAGCTTAGTTTGAAATAAACGTTAGGCAATAGGCGTCTCATAACCGGCATACATGAAATGTGATTTCATAAGCACTATCCAATATGGAAGAAAGTTCACTTCGGCTTTCGTGTATTTTCCAAAATGTTCTACGCTTATCAGTGACATTTCAGAATTAACAATTCAGATTTAATGATACCCATGATCACCCATATGCTATTTTTGAAATTCAATTCTTTAAGTTAATACAACCGATATGTAGATTTTGAGATTTTAGCGAGATTTTCAATGTACCTAATTTTCAGTAATTTTGTTTTACCTAAAATGACAGAACAGGGAGAAGCCAATCACAGGCCGGAATTCAATCTCACACATGTTTGATACTAGTGGCAAGAGTCATTATTGTCAGGATACTGGCAAGAGGATCCCAATGCATTACTCAGGTACCTATATCTATTACATGGGCAGGATACCTGCATTCTTACAGAGATCAAGGTCATCTTGTACATGAAGTAATCACACACAGAAACTCTACTCTCCATGGTAACAGGATGTGCTGGCGATTGAACCAGGGTATATCTCAGAACAGAATAATATTCCCTGGATAGTCGAGGATGATATAGGATAAAAGGATAAAGCATACCACTTAAGCTATTCGGCCAGCAGTATTTTCTGGAACGAGGGCACGAATGTCCCGATGTTGTGACAAGAGTAAATATTGTCAGGATACTGGCAAGAGGTCCCCATGCATTACACAGTTAGCTCTAGTATCCATGGTAACAGGTTGCTAAGATTTAGGTGGCATCTGGGGATTGAGCAATGGGAAACACAAGGGTAATATTAGGTACAAGTGACAAGGATTCTCTGTGCTGTTTCCTCAAATAGTTTATACACTGAAAAAAAACCCCAACCGGATAGGGATTATGAATATTTGGGAGGATAGTTTTATGGAATTGTGTGTCCCCAAAATTGTCACGATCCCTAACGATTTGAAGAAGGGATATCAATGCATGCTTGAGAGGAATTAGGATGATCTTCTAAGTAAATAATAAGTTTCCACAATCTAGAAAACACCATGAATAGGCCCCTACTGATTTGCCATACACAGACATGCCTTGTAACACTCCTACAATAGTTTGTAACACTCCTACAATCAGTCACGCTAAGGTGATACCTGATTATGTAATGTTATATATGTGGTTATCAACAAAACCATTGCACTGAATAACATGAATAAGGCCAGATCTTCTTGGTTTACAAATTTGCAGATTCAATTGGAAAAGTGAACGAATAAAAAATAAATGAAAAGTAGTGGGGTTAATATTCCGCAGACCCGAAACAATTAAAATGTTAAAAATCCAAATGCAATTACTGTGGCTATCAATATAAATAAATTATTTAAAATACCATAATTAAAACCTGTTGAAATTCTAGCCTAAAAACTGCTGCCCAACTTATTTTTCACCCCCTAAAAAATGTCCAACCTACCTAACATTTCGAGGGGTCGAAAAATAAAATAGTTTTTTAGAACTACCGACCTGAATTTTATGGCCAGAAATCCGTAAACCAAAAAGAAAAGAAAAAGGTCTGGCTGAACTGAGGCTAACCATCCTAAAGCACTGCAAAAGGACTTCTGGCCTTCCCTGCAAAATACTGAATATGGCGAAAAGGATTAACAAAGATTAAAATTCTGTACAAATGAGCATACACAAGGTAAGTCACACTGAAGACATTCCCCAACAAGCTGTTAATTTTCAACTTCAAACATCATTTGACACTGCACAATGCTCAACAAATATTTTACACATATCAACCTTGATAATGTACATGTATCTAGACTTGACGTAGAGGTTCTCTCTACGAACACAGCCTAATGTAACTCACAGAATGACAATGATGTAATTTACAGCTTGCATGACTGGATTTCAGTCAACAGTCAAAGTACTAAAAAATGGAAACATCCAAATGCAAACCATATTTACAAGATTTACATTCCTCAACAAATTATCAACGAAACGCAAGTATCAACATTTTGTGTTTAACATTTCCTGAATAAAATCATGTCATATTATGCCCCTCCATAACCTAAAACTTCATTTTGAAACAGATTTTATATCAGCCCCCTTGATTTCCACAAGTTCATTCCACAAAGCGATCGTAGCACTACAAATGTTGTAAGTCAGCGTTAAAGTATGGGAGTTAGGATCACCTTAGCGCTAACATCACTTTGTGGAACAGGTCCAAGGGCCCATCACACGAAATAATCATAGTGCTAGAATAGTTTAACACAAACTTAACACTCATACTTAAACACGGACTTATGAAGATTTTGCCACTACGATTGCTTTGTGGAACAGGACCAAACAGTGATCACAGCACTTCATTTGTCGTAACTCCCATAGACTTATGAAGATCGCAGTGCTAAGACTATGAGGAACCATTTTCAACTTGGCTTCGGGGAACTCTAGAAACGGTACAAAATATATCTGGAAACCTAATGATGGTACAAAACTGTAAGAATACGATCATATCTTTTTCCTCTCAGAACCTGCAGCTCCTGTATCTTGAGCAAAAGACACTGGAGGACACACACATTCTGGGACTTCCTCACGCCTTTCAATCCCTATTAAGGAGACAACTAAACAGAAACATCAACAAAGAAATTCAAAATAAGAAATAACAATATCCAAAATGGCACACTGATACAGGAAGTTTTGAAAAATAACTCTACTGTACAAACTCTGCAAAAATACCTCTTCAGCAGAATGAAAATATATCTGAACTTGGCCATTCAAGCCACACACTGCCTACAGCTTGACAGCTTAATCCCAGCTTCTGGTGGGTTTACAGGCGCTCATACAGTAGTCATGCATCTGCTTATGTGCTTGCTAATAATATATACATAGCCATTATATACACAACAAAAACAGGATTTCTTTCTGTCTCATTAATCTCTCTCTATCACACATTACTATATATAAACTGAAAATGTAAGATTGACAGACTGCAGATATTTCGTGACATTTACAAATCTTGGTGTGAAAAATGGAAAATCTGAATAGCTTCATGGATATACTGCAAGGACTGAAGAAACCTGACAAAATCATGCATAGCGTCGACTATGTATTTTCGTCCACAATGCACACTGGTGCACCTTACCCCCTCCTATATGCACATCCTAAGGTGCACGAAAGAACATTAAGGGGCTGTAACGGTACAAAATGACAAATAGGATCATAATAATATGCAACAGTATACATATGAATTACATATCACAATGTTCTGATTAACATTAGGACCTCTTTTCATCATCAATTTTTTTATAGGAACGGGTTTGTTAACAAATATACATAAGTAACCACATTCTTATCACAATTTTTTGATCTTGTCATTTCATTTAAATGGAATTCTAAACAAACTCACAAATATATCGTACCACTTAAAAAACAACTCTTGATAATATTGTCTAAACATGCATCAATGTTGAATACATACATACAATTCTTCTGCCTATGCGATAATAATTACAGAATCTTAAGCTCTTAAGCATCGGAAACACATTGATGCCTATCACACTAAAACTAAGTACACAAATATAGCAAAAAAACAATAAATCTGTTTATTATAATTGGAGAAACTCAGTTCTTCAGTACGACGGAATTAGCGCCATCAGGGTATGTTTGTGAAAGTCTACACTCAAAGACACACGACTGGCCGGACTGACAGAACAGAAGGGCTTCCTGTTGCAAGGGCTGATGGGATAGCCTCTGTGTCCTTCCTGGTCTTCCTCAGTGAAAGAATGTGTGGCAAGGGCAAGGTGAAGGTCACTCTGTTATGAGTGTATTGAACGGATAATCCCACAGTTTACTGGATATTCCAAAACCTGCAACATTCAGAAAAATATATTATGTAATTAGTTATGAAGTGCCATATGTATCCTAAAACAGAGACCCGTGAAGATCCAGGTTAGAATAGGTCTTCAGCAACCCATGATGACATGCAGCAACCCATGATGCATGTCATTGATCCCAATTGCGTGGATCGATGCTCATGATATTAATCACTGGATTGTCTGGTCCAGACTCGATTATTTATAGACCGCCGTTAAGTGCGGTGTTAAACAACAAACCAACCAACCAACCAACCTGAAACAGAAAATTAATATTTCACTCAAGTGAATTGACACCTAAAGCTGGAACTTCTTTCAGCCAACCTGAAAGACACTGTGTTTCTAAGTTGTCTGTGAATTTGGTGTTAAGCACCCACTCAGCAATATTTGCACTATATGACATATCTTGTGACATGAATATCACCTAAATGTTGCAAGTTTGCAAGTTTGCAAGGCTGCAGAGCTATAGATAAGCTTTTGATTATTTAATTATTTTATCCAGGGGGGTTGATTTTTATTGGGTATCAGCAATTCTTAGAGGGTATTTAAATAGGGTATTTTAACTTGAAAACCTGTTTCGTAACAATCCCTGCAAACTATTTAGAACTGTATGAATAGTAATTCTGTCTGCATCTGCATGTGGCTCCCTCTCCGGAAAGCCATTTTGGTTTGCAATAAGAAATGCGTTATTTTCTTTATCTCCAATCAGCGACTGTTTAACATATAACATGTACATTGACTAGGCAGGATGTGCTTTTCAATTGGCATTTTCAGTATGTTTGTCACACTAGCTTTTCCGAATGTAACTGTCAGTAAGTGAATTTCGCAGTTGTAATTTATGCAATAGTTTTATCTAAAAGCTTGAATATATGCATTAATTTTATTTCAATAGTGTATTTATAGTAGTTGTGTATTTGATACGCTAGGATTTGATTTGTCTGCATATTTCAGTTTATCTAATGCATATTTTACGCAGATACTTTATCTTGAGCTCAGAATTTTGCATGCCCGCATCTTTTTTTTTCTGTTTATTGTCTAGCACCACACTCAGCAATAGTCCAGACGACGGTCTTTGAAAAATCGAATCTGGACCAGATAATCAAGCATCTATCCACGCAATTGGGATACGACGACATGCATCAACCAAGTCAGTGAGTCTGACCACCCAATCCCATTAGTCGCCCTTACGACAAGCATAGTCACGTTTTAAGGTAAGAATGGGTAAAAACTTGAGTCTGGACCAGACAATGGATTGACATAACGAGCATTGATCCATGCAACTGGGATACAACTACATGCAATCAAACAAGAATTTGATACAATGAATGTAATGCGTAACTCGGGATTGAATATAGTTCTTTTCTATACATTTGTGCATATTGGACGCACATTTCGCTGTTGTGTAAAACCCCTGCATGTACACAACCACTTTACCTTTATGCTGTTGTTCAAAATGGTGTTTGACATGGTATCGCTTGAGGTTCTTGAAGTACGTGAGGGATGGTGAACCATGATGTAGGTAGTAGTGGATGAGGTCATACGTCATATAGCCCAGCACAGTCCCTGAGATGACGGACAGCGTCATCAGCCGCGGACACACCAGACGCACGAGAGAGTACATTATTACTGCCAAGATGTTTGCTGGCACCAGCGGAAATACTAGTCGACCCTTCTCCATGGGTGCCTACAAGGAACAATGGATCTCATGTTGAAGTATTGTAGAATCAGGTGAGGTCAAATAGGTTAACGTCGCGATCAAGATTATTGCACTTATATATGGTGACATGCAATCACCTGCGAGTGTGCATATATGTGTCTCTGCTTGTACTATTCCACACTAACGCTGGTTCATAATACTAAGCCCACTGAGATAGCATGCTGCAGTTTACCTTCGATACCCCACTCAGACACAGTGTACTGACTACGGGCTGACCAGTCCTTGTCTTAGCCCCTTAATGACAAGCACCAGGCAGGGCAACATCAAGTACCACTTCTACTACTTATTTCTTTAGGTTCCACAACCATTTCTACAGCTACTGCCACAGCTACTATCACAGCCACTGCCACAAGGCCCACAACCATTTCCACAGCTACTATCACAGCTACTGCCAGAAGGCCCACAACCACTTCCACAGCCACAGCTACTATCACAGCTACTGCTACAAGGCCCACAACCACTTCCACAGCTACTATCACAGCTACTGCCACAAGGCCAACTACCACTTCCACAGCCACTGCCACAGCTACTATCACAGCCACTGCCACAAGGCCCACAACCATTTCCACAGCTACTATCACAGCTACTGCCAGAAGGCCCACAACCACTTCCACAGCCACAGCTACTATCACAGCTACTGCCACAAGGCCCACAACCACTTCCACAGCTACTATCACAGCTACTGCCACAAGGCCAACTACCACTTCCACAGCCACTGCCACAGCTACTATCACAGCCACTGCCGCAAGGCCAACTACCACTTCCACAGCCACTGCTACAAGGCCAACTACCACTTCCACAGCCACTGCTACAAGGCCAACTACCACTTCCACAGCCACTATCACAGCTACTGCCACAAGGCCAACTACCACTTCCACAGCTACTGCCACAGCTACTATCACAGCCAATGCCAGAAGGCTCACAACTACTTCCACAGCTACTGCCACAGCTACTATCACAGCCACTGCCACAAGGCCCACAACTACTTCCACAGCCACTGCCACAGCTACTATCGAGCCACTGCCACAAGGCCAACTACCACTTCCACAGCTACTGCCACAGCTACTATAACAGCCACTACCACAAGGCCCATTACCACTTCCACAGCTACTGCTACAGCCACAACTACAGCTAATGCAACATCTTCAGCTACAGCTACTGCCACTACTACAGTTACTGCTACAGCTACTGCCACAACTACAGCCACAGCTACAGCTACTGCCACAACTACAGTTACTGCTACAGCTAAAACTACTGCTACAGCTACAGCCACAACTACAGTTACTGCTACAGCTAAAACTACTGCTACAGCTACAGCCACAACTACAGTTACTGCTACAGCTAAAACTACTGCTACAGCTACTGCCACAACTACAGTTACTGCTACAGCTAAAACTACTGCTACAGCTACAGCTCCCACCACTTCCACTACTCATTCCTTTGGGTCCTACCTTATGGTGCTGCCCATGCAACAAGAAGTGCAGCTGGAGGATGATGGGATACTGTGTGGGTGGTTTGAGATGAAACACCCAGCGATGAATTACATATTCCAGCAGTGTCCATGACAAAGCACCCAGGAGAAAGAGATATGGCATCCGGGACACGTTGATCTCAATACCTACAATAAATGTACAGAAATGGAAGCAAGTTGCAAATAAACACAAACCTTTTCAATGAGAAATTAAAACACATAGGTTTCAACTTGGAAAGATCATAGCAAGACTACTGAATGGTAATAAAGAGATTCAAGAGCCAGAGGAGGTGTAGCTCAACTGGTTTACACATGAGTGTGGGGGATTTAAAGTGTTTTGCATGCTCTGTGACATCATAGGACCTCAGCTTAAAGGGAAGAAAAAACCTGAAGCTTTGCAGGTCTAAGACATATACCACTTCGGTGAAACCTAGAAGCATGGGTATAGTGCTGAAAAACCTAGAAACATAATCAGGGACAATCTGGGATTTAAAACCCACGATCACAGGCAAAGCCAAGGGACGCAGCAGTACGAACTCTTAACAGCAAATTGTTGAGAATTAGACAGTTGGGCCATCTGTGCCCCTGACATAAAATTGATAGCTAAACAAGTGTTTACATTACATGCAAAACAGAAGCAGCACCAACCCCACCATATACTGAGTGTCCCCCAAACTTTCCCTTCAGAAACATGTATCCTGAACCATTTTGATTTCACCAGTTGACAAATGACCTCAAACATTCCCAATGCAGTACAACTTTCAAACAGAAAGTCATACCGGTAAATCATTAATACTCATGATATTGTGCATATTTTCACTTTTTGGGAGACGTCTGCTTACCACTGAGTGACCTTGACCTTGAATGTGTTTGAGTGAGTGAGTGAGTGAGTTGGGTTTAACGCCGCTTTTAACATTATTCCAGTTATATCGCGGCGTGTCAGCTTCATGTGGGAGGGAAGCCCGAAGTGATGCAGGTCTTAGACGTTTACCACTTCGGTGAAACCCATGAGCACGGGTATGGTGCTGACAAACCTAGAAACATAATCGGGGCGAACCGGGATTCGAACCCACAATCCTAGGTTTCTGGCGTGCCCAAGGGACGCAACTCTGCACAGCGAATCCCGGCGCCTTAGACGACTGGGCCACCCGTGCCCCCTGAATGTTTTTAAAACAGAGACAACAACCCCCTGTGGGGATTCAAGGTTAGAATAGGTTCCCAGTAACCGATCCTTGTTGCAATGTGGGACTTAATCGATCAGGTGGTCAGTCTTGATGATTTACTTCATAGTGTCACTTTACATGATACCAACCACTGATTTGTCAAGTCCAGACAGTTATTTAGAGTCCGCTGTGATTGTGGTGTAATACAACTAGAATGTGTTGTTACTCATTATAAAGATATCTCCTCTCTTCGTTACATTCTTTCAAGTTGTTATTATAAATGTTTTTCCAAATCCAAAAAACAACCACAGCAAAATAAATACCCTTACAGATTCTGTTTAATGCATTTATAAAGCAGTAGTCTCTCATGTAAGATTAAGTCAAAATTGTTTCCATGGAAAATAAAATTTAGAAAAATGTTAAAATAGCAAAATTCACCCGTTCAGCTGATGAGCACAGCATATGGAAAGTTGAAATATGTGGAATGGTTTTCATGGTTCGGTCCGGGAACAAACCCTTCCCTTATTTGAGACTAAGTCGAAACTGTTTCCATGGTAACATAAAATAAAATAAAAGTTAGAACAATTTCAAAATAGCAAAAGGCACCAGTTAAGCTGATGAGAAATGCATTTGGAAAGTTTTGTTGAAAAACATTGTGAACGGGTTTCACGTTATGGCTCGGAATAGGATGGGAATGCTGATACCAACGCCAATGCTGACGCCAACAGGAACTGATAAAACAATATGTCTCCCAACCAACCTCCCGCCATCCATGGCAGCCACAGATCGGGGTGTTCGCTGAGTCCGGTGTAGGCCGTGTAGATCATGGCCAGCATGGCGGGCACCCAATACATAGGCACCATCCACCAGGAACACTTGGAGAAGTACTCCACGAAGTCCGAGTGGAACAGGCGCAGGGGTAAATCTGTCGGTTGGTGTGCCCACTCAAAGTACTGCTCTCCCAGCTTGGGAATCTGTGGTAGAACTGGTTTCTTCCAATCCACAGGGTCTGTCTGAATCAAAAACACATTCAGTAGAGTAAAAACCCATTTTCTCCATACAGATGTTGAAGATTGATTTTTTCACAGCCATATGGCCCTTAACTTCATTTCCCTGTAGTATAGCCAAAGCAATAACTAAGAAGCAATTGCAATTTTGAAAGAAGGTAATTTTCACGGCCATATGGTTCTCAACTTTATTTTCCTGTAGCCAAAGCAATATCTTAGAAGCCAACGTAATTTTGAAAGAAGCTAAATCAAAACCTTAAAATATTCACATGCCACAATAATATATCTGGAATATTGCTGACTTGCGACATTCAGTCAGTGAGTCACACATTACTTCAACTGTATCTACTTCACAAAACAATGATTTGATAACTAGTTGTCAGGGAATGAATACATGTATCCTAAACATGACATCTGCCATATTTTCATTGTTTTTGTTTTTGGTTTTGGTTTCAGAAGGGTAAGTCACTAAGTGAGTGCATTATTGTGGGACGGGATTTCTTGTCCATCACTTGATTGTCTGGTTTGTTGTGAGGTGTCAGGCAATAAAGCATATTTTCTTACACAAATTGCATGAACGGTGGGTGCTGGCGGTAGGGCAGGACATGCTTTCCTTTTTGGGAATGTCTGTTGTCATCACGATTTGCAGTGACCCATTCATATAATTTTTGACATTATTTTGCCTTTTAAACCAAATTGAATCTGTCTGGTCTGATAATCGAGACTGTTTATTCCCTGACGTTGACCTTGTATAATTATTTGATTATCTTAAGTCAAAAGTTTATTTAGGAAGCCAAATAGCTGGGATTCCTGAAAGCTTTTCACTTACTGGTATGGATGTCATCATAGATTCTGATATCAATGTATTAATACATTGTTAATAGCAATACTGGATTGATACAAATTTATGAATATTGGTACATTAATAATTCACTGCCCCAAAAACATTTACATTTGATAAGAATCCCATGACTGAGGCAGAAAATTCAATGTTAAACATTTTAGATTGTTAAAAAAATCATGATATGCTTCAACATGTACAATCACCTCATTATTTTAATCGTTTGACTTTACACTTTGGCAGACCATTAAATAATTAAATTATGTAGCTACAAAACAAATAACTCCATTACGCCAGGGAAAACACAGAGACACAAAGTCCATGAGGTTTGTTGTAATTTCCTCACAAAACGTGAGAGGTGCATCCTGTATGTATTCAAATATACCTCAAGCAACACCATCCTATTGTTATTGGAGTTTCTTCTTTTATCAGGATAACCTAATCTCCAGGCTGCCGAAGTTGATTCTATAGAATTCTGCAGAATAATCTAGGGACTTTCAACAGATCATCTTAATCAAAGGAACATTCTGTAGAAAGTCTTTTTTGTCCCAGGGTTCGATTCCCGACATGGGTACAATGTGTGAAGCCCATTTCTGGAGTTCCCCGCCGTGATATTGCTTGAATATTGCTAAAAGCAGTGTAAAAACATACTCACTCACTCACTTTTTGTCCCAGAGATTTTTGATTGAACACAATCCCCATAACACTGATTACAATGATAACATCAGGACATGTGCGGAAATATGTAAAATCAAACGCCGAAATGTTACTAATTAGGGCTGGGACGAGTCCAAATTTACTACTCGGGTACGCGATCCCTACTACTCGACCCTACCCAGATACCGACTATAGGTCTCAAGAGTTGGGTACAAAATGTCCGAGTAGGAATTGTTTACCGTACCCCTGGCAAAATGTATTTAGATACACGTATGAAACGATCTGGTCATGCATACATTGAAGTTGATGAAGCTGTATCTTTACTCATAACATTAAAAAGTCAGAAGGAATGTGCACATAGTCAGAAAGATATCAGAACATTACCGATTTGTAGGTAACCAGGTAACCATGGAGTTATAGTAGTGTTTTTTTTCATTAAACAATATATCACGTGACTAACCAGGGGTCAGGGTAGACCTGTGTGTACCCGGGTCCTACTCAGTACCCACCCGACCAGAGTACCCGAGCTACCCGTCCCAGCCCTATCACTAATCATGCTAATATTTCAGAGGGATTGAACCTGTTACCCTCTTATCTGTAGCCAAGTGAGTGAACTTCAAGGTGCTGATAGTCCACAAAGCTTTTAAAAATCTCTGTTTCAAGCACATGTTCACCCGCAAGAAAGGTCTTACGGACATTTTCTAAAAGTTCATGGAAAGTATGTTGGCAACATAAAATTGTTGATAAATGTTGTTTTGGCTTATCAACTGCGTATCAGACAGATAAAACACTGTCTCTCTGATTTGGTTACCGAAGTAAACACTCAGGGTAAGTGGAGAAAGGGTGTTCAGTGGTCTGCATGCTGCATGTGGTCTTTCTTGTTGTCATCACAGTGAGTGAGTGAGTTGGGTTTAACGCCGCTTTTAACATTATTCCAGTTATATCACAGCGTGTCAGCTTAATGTGGGAGGAAAGCCCGAAGTGATGCAGGTCTCGGACTTTTACCACTTCGGTGAAACCCATGAGCACGGGTATGGTGCTGACAAACCTAGAAACATAATCGGGGCGAACCGCGATTCGAACCCACAATCCTAGGTTTCTGGCGTGCCCAAGGGACGCAACTCTGCACAGCGAATCGCGGCGCCTCAGACGACTGGGCCAACCGTACCCCCTGTTGTCATCAAAATCATTTTATACCATGTATACTGCTACGCTCCTTTTCTTGGATTTAGACGGTTTACATGATAGATAAAATACTCCTAAGTTTTGGTTGAAAATGTAAAACCTCACGCTTTTCCTTGCTCTCGGTCTTACATTTTCAACCCTTTCAACTAAGGAGTGTTTTATCCTTTACCATGTTTACATTGCCTAGCTGTCCCACACTGAATGCAAAGGATTCTTGTCATTGGCTAATATTCTCTCACATCTCTGTTGTAGGACCAACAGGTTTGAGAGTACATAACACATGCAAACAAATGCCAAAATGCCAGGGATGTTCACACAAACCAGACTCTCTTCTTTTCTCACTCGCAAAAGCAAAGAAAGTCTTAATAAGAGAAAGTCCTCAAGCTGCTAATGCTTTTTGTAAAGCAGTTGCACTTTTGAAATTGTGACCGGTGAAAAGTAAACAGGACCAGTATTTGTACAACCATGAGTCTGCAACACTTACATAGCCCTCCTGTCTGTTGTAGAAGTACTTGTCCTCCATCGAAAACAGGTCTGCATCCTGGGAACAACAATAAAACATTTATTTTTTTTATACCTCTATTAAGAATCTTGCAATTCCATTGGTTAATCCGTACCACATGACAAAACAAAACATTTCAATGTAGACCCCAAAATCATGTGACTGGAGCTGACCTCGAATATTGGCTTGTTGTTTTATGCGTACTCAGCAATATTCCAACTATATGATGTCAATCTGTATATAATCGAGTCTGGACCAGACAATCCAGTGATTGATATCATGAGAATTGATCCATGCAATTTGGATCGATGACATGCTTCAACCAAGTCAGAGAGCCCGACCATCCGATCATGTGAGTCGCCTCTTACAACAAGCATGGGTTGCTAAAGACCTATTCTACCCTAAATCTTCACGGGTCGACCTCGAATATTGACTCGTCACATGATTAGTATTGACCTGTAACATGATGAATATTGATTAATCTGCTAGAAAACAAGATGACGTCTGGTACAAACGTTTCATGGTTTGCAGCTAAGTTACGTAATGAAACAGAGGACAGTTACAAGACTTCAGAAAGTTTAAAGTGAATTTCGGTAAAACAAAACGAATGATTACTCTTGATTACCCTCGGACCCGACCCCTTCAGCAGTCTGGTCAGATCACCTCAGGGGTTGGGTTCTCGGGTCCTTGTTTCCAGCATATTGACCTTGTCAATAGTAATTATTTGTATAGTTTCAGCCTTATAAGTGGCACAATACTGACTCGTGGGGATTCTGGGTAAGAATATAGGTCCTCAGGAATGTATGCTTTTCATAAGAGGTAACTAACGGGATTGGGTGGTCAGGTTCGCTGACTTGTTTCATCAATACAAGTCATCGTATTCCATTTGCGTGGACCGATGCTCATGATGTCAATCACTGGATAATGTGGACGAGAAACCCATTCCAAAAAGCGATCTTAGACTTATGATTGTCGTAAGCCTGTGTTAAAGTATGGGAGTTACAATCATCTTAGACTTATGATTGTCGTAGGCCTGTGTTAAAGTATGGGAGTTACGATCATCTTAGACTTATGATTGTCGTAAGCCTGTGTTAAAGTATGGGAGTTACGATCATTTTAGACTTATGATTATCGTCAGCCTGTGTTAAAGTATGGGAGTTACGATCATCTTAGACTTATGATTGTCGTAAGCCTGTGTTAAAGTATGGGAGTTACGATCATCTTAGACTTATGATTGTCGTAAGCCTGTGTTAAAGTATGGGAGTTACGATCATCTTAGACTTATGATTGTCGTCAGCCTGTGTTAAAGTATGGGAGTTACGATCATCTTAGACTTATGATTGTCGTCAGCCTGTGTTACAGTATGGGAGTTACGATCATCTTAGACTTATGATTGTCGTAAGCCTGTGTTAAAGTATGGGAGTTACGATCATCTTAGACTTATGATTGTCGTAAGCCTGTGTTAAAGTATGGGAGTTACGATCATCTTAGACTTATGATTGTCGTCAGCCTGTGTTAAAGTATGGGAGTTACGATCATCTTAGACTTATGATTGTCGTAAGCCTGTGTTAAAGTATGGGAGTTACGATCATCTTAGACTTATGATTGTCGTAAGCCAGTGTTAAAGTATGGGAGTTACGATCATCTTAGACTTATGATTGTCGTAAGCCAGTGTTAAAGTATGGGAGTTACGATCATCTTAGACTTATGATTGTTGTAAGCCTGTGTTAAAGTATGGGAGTTACGATCATCTTAGACTTATGATTGTTGTAAGCCTGTGTTAAAGTATGGGAGTTACGATCATCTTAGACTTATGATTGTCGTAAGCCTGTGTTAAAGTATGGGAGTTACGATCATCTTAGACTTAAGATTGTCGTAAGCCTGTGTTAAAGTATGGGAGTTACGATCATCTCAGCACTAAGATCCCTTTGTGGAACAGGGCCCAGACTTGATTATTTACAGACAACAGACATATAATAGGAATACTGCTTAGAGCAGCATTAAAGAACAAACAAACAAGAAGACAAAGTCATCTATATCCCCTACACATTGTCCAATCTTAAAGACAATGATAGGTGCGGTCAAATGTGATGGTGTATCGTCCCACTAAAACAGAGACAAACATGGTGCAGATATTCACTGTACACTGTGTTTCCTCTAGTCAAGGCATTTACCCATACTGTCCAGTGCCTGAATTAGATTTTTAAATCATTAACTTCCCTTGGCTGACGTGGTCAGTCTGAGATGTTGCTTGGCCCATTGTGACAGCAGAGCTGGCATTGGCTTCTTACAGCATCATGTCATTGCCTGTGCTATAAGATGAAAGGGATGTGAAGGTGCTATGCTTTGTGCCGGAGCTTGCTTTTCACAACATTGCACACTTTACACATCTGTATAAACACGGGCAAGCCAGGCATGTTGATGAATGTTTTGATAATCTGTGTTGCTGTATTTATATGAGAATCTAGGGCCAACTTCCACATGTCTGTGATGATTCTTGCATCATTATTGACAAGCATGTGGAAAATTCATCTAGCATGAACACTAGACTCAGTTCATCTATATATTAGAAGTACGAAAAGTCCTAAAATTGCATTATGTCTTATTACGCTGACAATATTATTGATATCCTATTTCATGATGAAGAATTACATTATATGATTAATAGCTTATCATGCTTGTGTTTGGGGATGGTAAACATGGTAAATATCCTGAATTTTTTGGGAATGGTTAATATCCTGAATTAGGAATAAACACTGTGTATTTATTCCTAATATGTCCACATTGTTATACCTAATACAGGATATTTACCATTCCCAACCACACTCGTGTGATAACCTCTATATCTGTCTGATTTGTTGCCTTATTTTGAAGAACTCCTGCAATTGCGAAATCCATGCAGTCAAGCCAAAAAGCTTGACAGTTAACCTTATCACAACAGATACATTTAGGACGAATATCCACATCATCTTCACAGGAGTATTTTAAGTTATTATGCATTTAAAATTAAACAGATTGTGTTGACTGACTCATAATTTTATTCAGTGATTACTAAATGAGCCTTGTTATCAGCAGTCTGGCATTTGTCTTCATCACATCATTTTATCAAATGCTCAGATAACCTAATTTCCGTCTGGTTGTTAGATGTTTGACGCCACACTCAGCAATATTCTGGCTATATCACAACAACCCGTAAACACGGCAAATAATCAGGTCTGGCCAGGAGAACCAGTGGTTGATATTATGACACACTTTCACACTGTCAGGCTACAATCACCAGCCAAGCAACCACCCATCAACTTAGTCACCTCTTACAATGCTGGGGATCTTATCTCCCTTTGGCTGTCTTCAGGGTCTGATGTCAGTGATGTTATGAGGGAGTGATGTTATGAGGGAGTGAGTGAGTATGGTTCTGCTCGCTTTTAACAATATTCAAGCAGTATTACTGCGCGGGACACAAGATTTGGGCTTTTCACATTGTACCCATGTGGGAAATCGAGCCCTTAAAGTATAATGAGCAAATGCTTTAACCACGAGTCTAATCCACCCCTCCCTTACGATGTTACAAGTCTAACTAACAAAGAGTTTTTAGGCATGCAGCGTTAGAAATTGGCACTGGTCCTATAGTCCTTACCAAACTGCCCAATAGTAAAGGTATCCTAAGGACTAGTAGAAATTGGCCAATTTTAAGGGTTATGTTATTATTATAAGGACTAGTGGACAAAAACTGTTAGTTTCTAGCCCTGGGCATGTAATGTTTATTCTTAACCTGGACTACACATAAGTGACATATCCATCACTTTTATACATCTGATCTAAGGCTCGGACGAGTCCAAATTAACTACCTGGGTAACCACTGTAGGTCTCAAGAGATGGGAACAAAATGTCAATTGGGAATTGTTTTTAAAATTGTTGTAACTATTTAGATACATGCATCAATTCATCAGATCATGTGTACACTGAAGCTTTATCTTTACTCCAACACATACAAAAAAAGTCAAAAGGAATGTGTGCATCGTCAGAAAGAAATGCGAACATTAGCGACTTGTAGTGTAACTGAGCTATAGTAAGTTTTTGTCATTAAATAATATATCACGCGACTAACCACATGTCCGGGTAGTCCTGTGGGTACCCGGGTCCTAGTGAGGACCCACCCGGCCCGAGTACCCAGTCTGTGCCAAAAAACATTTTTGCCTGCTTGCCTGAATTAGCTTTGTTTATCCTTTGCTGTAGAGTTTCGTGTTAACGTATGGACGTAGATTAGCTGTTTACAAAAGAATTGACTTCTACTTCATCATATTCATATAATGATGACCAAACTGTATGAATGTTTGAGTTCGCGACGACATTCTTACCATGTTTGGACCTCACTCTATGAAAGTTCATACACCAATGACCTCACACTAAAGTGAATGTCAATTCTTTGAGTTTGTTTCACTATTCAGGGTTAGAAACTAATAGTTTTTGTCCACTCGTCCTTATAATGATAACATATAGCAAAACCTTTAAAATGGGCCAATTTCTACTAGTCCTTAAGATACCATTACTATTGGGCAGTTTGGTAAGGACTATAGGACAAGTGCCAATTTCTAACGCTGCTATTTTATACTTCGAAGGGTGTGTATACAATTTTATTTAGTGTGTTTGAATTCATGTTTACACTGACAGCCATACACACAACCAGCTGTATTGCAGAATAAAACAGTTCCTCAAAACGAAAGGTGACATGAGTGTATGCATGCTGAAATTGATTAACAGTAACAAACTGATTCCAACAATATCATCATTTCTGGTGTCCCCCGCTGTGATATTGCTGTAATATTATCACATTAGAAGGTCTGGTGGTATTTTAAAAAACTACCTCAGTAGGTCAGTCAGTGCATCGTTATGCATTTACATCAAGTACAGGACATCAAAATGGCCGACACAATCAACATGACAGGGGAGATTTCCGAAGTGGTTAATAAACCTGTTGTGTTAATAAGTGACAGGTGATGATAAAGATGTGTTAAATCAGAGCTCCAGATAAGCTTTTGGTG